CTGAGTCTCTGGGATCATGGCCATTAAGCTGTTTGATCAGGAACCAGAGAGGCTGTTCATGGGTGGTGACTTGGGGTCTCATTGGGAGAAGGAGAAAAGGGCCGGCTCTACCTCCATACCGTGAGGCCTTGCATGTCTCATATGTCTCATCACTGTGGGCCTAAACCTGACTGTCCAGTGTCCTTTGGAGGATGGTGGCCACTGAGCCGCTAGGGGGAACAGGCCAAGGCACAAAACCTGGGGTGGCCTGGCACTGGTAACCTACTGCAGGGACCAGGCGCATTTCTGCCAAAAGCCATTGGGTTTCAAGATTTGTTTCTGAGTCTCTGGGATCATGGCCATTAAGCAGTTTGATCAGGAACCAGAGAGGCCTTGCCTCCAATTATATAGCTGAGCTGGAGGTGGTTTGTGGGTGTGTCTCCCACATACCTAACTTTTGGCCATTTACTTTCTTGGTAAACTTTGCCCCAAGTTTTTGGGGCCTGGCCAAAGGCACGGCAGAAATTATAGGGTATCTGGAAGTCTGAAGGTGCCATCAGGTTCCTGATGCACTTGTCTCACAGGTATAGACTGACCTGCTGGCGGCACCATACCCCCTGATTTTCCTTTTTTAAATGACTTCTATTTACTCAATATCTTGTATTTCTTCTTATCTTGTATTTAATTCTTTTGCTCATCCTTCTGCTTATCTTATTAATCCTCGATTACCTCATATTTAATTTGTTCTTTATTAGCTTAAAGATGAACCTTATTTGCTTGGTTTGGTTTGCAAGTTCCATTTTATTGTGATTAGGACTTACTCCTGGCTTTGCACTCAGAGATCACTCCGGGGTGACCAGAATCCAACCTAGATTGGCTGTATCAAAGCAAGCACCCTACCCACTATGCTATCTCTCTGACTCTTAAATAATATTTTTGGATTGTTAATTTCAGGGTTTTTTTCTTTTTAAATATAGCATTAATATTTACATTTCCTTCTGTACAGCACTTTAGTGCATCCAAGATGTTTATATTTGTGTATTTGCATTTTATGTAGCTAAATATTATTTCTAATTATCTGGTGTCTTTTTTTCTTTTTTCCCCTTCTATCATTGAGAGCATATGTGATGAAGATTTAGGTTATTGATTTTTTTTTTTTAAATACTATCATCATCTATGTATTCATTTGCTCTTGCTCATTTCTCTTGCTGAGAGTCCACTTACATATACATATTACCGCCTGCTTAATTTGTTTGTTTTAGGCCACATTCAGTGATGCTCAAGGCCTAACTCCTGGCTCTGCACTCAGGGAATCATTCCTGGTGGTGCCCAGGAAAGCATATACGGTTCTGTGAATTGAACTCAGGCTCACCATGTGCAAACAAGTGCCATAACATCTGTAGTATTTCTGTCATATACTGTATAAATTCTTTAGGGGCAGCCGGGGGTGGGGGGTGGTGGGAGGAGGTGATGGCTCTTCCCCTAGCCCCCAGTGTTCGGGGTGGGCCTGGGCCGTGGGGCAGATGGTGGATGAAACAAGGGCCAAGCTGGTTGGTTCATCAGTTACAGTTTATTCTATTCCCCCCAAGCACCTGCCCCAGTCTCTCTGTGTGTAAACACACAAAAAAACGATGGGCGAAGGGACGGCAACAGCCTATCTCTCCCGCCGCCTGCGTTCAGTAGTCTCAGGGTGTTTCCCCACTCCAGGGAGGTCGATGGCAATGGTCAGGTGGAGGAAAGAAACGAGGACCGGGCTGGTTGGTCTTAGTAGCAATTTATTACATGGAAGAGATGTACGTCTCAAGCATGTGCTCCTTTGTTCTCTCAGCTTCTGTCCTCAGCCCCATCTTCCCAGGTTCTCTGATGCATGTGTCCCCCAGAGAGCCCTGAAAATCCCCTTATATAGATCATGGTACCTCTAAAGGGAGCAATATAGTGATGTCATCAAAAGGAGTTACTGAAAGAACATTGAGGCGCCAACTATACATTGTTTCTTTACATCCACCTGCCAGTAATCTTGGCCTCACCTTTTACAAGTTATAAGCACTTGGATTAGCACAACTAAAACCAGTCTGCTAGAGCTTGCAATCTAAATCTCAAAAGATCAGCCTGCCTGGATCCAGGCATCTACATCCCCAGGATCAGGCCTGGTTTAGCACCTGGGATCTGCATACCTAAGACCAGCTAGGTTTCTGTGAGATAAGGGAAACTGCCTCAATATACTGAAATCATTTACTGAAGGCAGTTTGAAGGGGAGAAAAGTTCAGTCTCATCCAAGCTAGTCTGGACACACTGAAAAGCAGTTTCTAGGGCAGATTCTCATTTAGCAGATCAACTCACACTAGAACAGAATTCCCTGGGTGTGTTTCTCCTCTCCTTGTCCGACCAACATATAAGCATACATAATATAAATCATTTTGTATGGACACAGTAAGAAATACTTTGAGCTTATAGAATTGCTCTCCTAGGGCTATCTCGACCTCAGACTGCAGTGCTCAGGCCAGATATCTTTCCTATTCTTAGCAGCAGGGTCCTAGTCTCGTCATTACTTTTGGATCATGACAGCATTTGATCAACTCTTAACCTATAGTTAAGGATCATGGCACCTTGGCCTGGCCCATCACGATGCCAGGGTAGCACATAACTTACCTGCTTGCCCTGGTTCCATTCAGTCCCACATTGGGACCCTGCCCTTGGGGTGCTAGGATGTTAGGGCAACTGAGGCTTGAGTTGAGAAAGCAGATGCCCGGGAGTGAATAACATTCAAAGCCAATTAAATCCTAAGATGTAAAGCATAAAATTAATTGTCTTCCTGTATCTATACAAAAAGGACATTGTATTAAACTATTCAAAAGACATAAGGAGAGGAGAAAAGCAATATTAACTTACAGTACAAGTTCAGTGTCCTAGAAGGATGAGACCTTACAAATTGGTTGGGGAAAAGAGCACAAAGAAGTAGTTACAAACAAACAAAGTAATGGAAGTGACTCGGGAGCACTGTGATGGGTGCAACCTGATAAACCTAAGCTCCTTGTACTCCAACACTCTGAGCCTCCCAATCTAGTCTCCACTGCTCCTCATTCCCGTCTCCTTCTGTCTCTACTGCTCATCTCTCTGTGCTCCATTTCTAAGCCTGGGCTCACTTTCTCTACGTGCTTGCTCCTGTATTCTTCTACATTCTTCTGTCCTCTGTCCCCCTTGCTAGTCTCTCTGAACTGTATCTTGCCGCCCTGCTCTCTCTCTCACCCTCTCCAGCTCTCTCCCTCTCTCCAGCTTGGTTGTCTCTCCAACTCCCCAGCCCACTGGGCTGACACTGCACCCAGTCAGGTAGCAAAATCAACATAAGAAAGCCCTTCCTGAGGGTCCACCAGGTTCAAGGGAAACACCACCTAAGAGGTATTCCAAAACCCTTCCTGACTGCCCAAGGGCAAAATACCTCCTAAGGTGTTTTTCTCCTTTCCTCAGTCCAATAACTCTATCAACATCTTCATACTAGTTATTTTTGTATGGACACAGTAAGAGATACACTGAGGCTTGTAGAGCAGCTCTCCTGGGAACATCTTGCCACAAACTCAGACTACAGCGCTCAGGACAGATTGACCATTCCTAAACCTAGCAGGGTCCAAGTCTAGTTATTATTTTTTGGATCATGACAGCATTTGTCCTTGACCAAGCTCTTAACTTATGGTTAAGCATTATAGCACTTTGGCCAGGCCCATCTTGATGTCAGGGTAGCACATAGCTTTCTGCTTTTCCTGGTTCCAATCCAGTCCCTCATTGGGACCCTGCTTTGGGGGGTGCTAGAAAGTAGGGGCAGCTGAGGCTTAGGTCGAGAGAACAAATGCCCGGGAGGAAAATATCACTGAGAGTCATATTACAAAAGCATAGCATATACTGCCTTCTTGTGTCCATACAAAGAGGACATTATTCTGAGTAAACTATTGAAAGGACTTAGGGAGAAGAGAAAAACAATATTTACGAGTCAACAGAACACAAAGAAAGAAGTTACAAATAAACACAGAGAAATGGGAGCACCATGATGGGGCCAACCCAATACACCTAAACTACCTGAGGCCATGCAGGAAGGACAAAACAGTGTTATCCTGCAATATACAACCATTTATATTGAACCTCAAACCATGTATATTCTCTTGTGTTTGTTTGCTTTGGTATATTTTCATTTTATTTTTCATTTAGATAATTTCTTTTGAAATTTTTGATACTCTTGGTAGCTTGCTGGGCTCTCCGAGAGGGATGAAGGAATCAAACCCAGGTCAGCCGCGTGCAAGGCAAATGTCTTACCCGCACTTCTATCACTCCAGCCCCTCAGCATAGCTATTTTGTCTTTTTAAAATCTTTATTTATTTATTTGGTTTTGACGCCACACCCGGCTGATTTCAGGGCTTACTCCTGGCTCTGTGCTCAGGGATCACTCTGGAAAGTGCATGTGAAAGCCCCGTTATTGCTCTCTATCATTGAATACACCCTCCAAGCCCCAGTTAATAGATATTTGGAGGCCCTAATACGATATGGTCTAAGTTGAGCAACATTGTCTATCAAAATACTGAACTATGCAGCTGAAATGTATAAAAGACCATGAGTGACACTCAGGGTTCCTAAGCACTGTTTGGGAGCATTCTTCCAAAATAAAGTATTAAAATCTAGGCTTACTTAAAGAGAAGAAAGAATGGAAGTCATCCCAGAGGAAAATTATTTGAGATATAAAAATAATTATTGAAATATTATGTCATAAGTTCAAAGGAACTCCACGGTAGACACGGTCCTCCCGTTGTTCATCGGTTTGCTCGAGTGGGCCCAGTAACGTTTCCATCATGAGACTTGTTGTTACTGTGTTTGGCATATCGAATACGTCAAGGGTAGCTTGCCAGGCTTGCCAGGCTCTGCCGTGAGAGCCAGATACTCTCGGTAGCTTGCTGGGCTCTCCGAGAGGGGCGGAGGAATCGAACTCGGGTTGGCCATGTTGGCCGCTTGTAAGGCGAATGCCCTACCACTGTGCTATCGCTCTCGCTTCGGCAGCACATATACTAAAATTGGAACAATACAGAGAAGATTAACATGGCCCCTGCACAAGGATGACACGCAAATTCGTGAAAGGAACTCCAAACAAAAAAAAAACCATAAAAGTTTCTATTTTAAAACACTTTCTCTCGGAGAGCCTGGCAAGCTACCGAGAGTATCTTGCCCGCACGGCAGAGCCTGGCAAGCTCTCCGTGACGTACTCGATATGCCAAACACAGTAGCAACAAAATGGAGACGTTACTGGGCCCGCTCAAGCAAATCGACAAACAACGGGAGGGCCTTTACCTTTTTTACCTTTTTATTTTAAGAATATATATATATATATATTTTTGGGTCACACTCGGTAATGCACAGGAGTTACTCCTGGTTCATGCACTCAGGAATTACTCATACGGGATGCTGGGAATTGAACCTAGGTCGGCTGCGTGCAAGGCAAACGCCCTACCCACTGTGCTATTGCTCCAGCCCCTCCAGATTGGTTTCAATAGGATGAAACAGTATCAGACAGACAGACACATAGATACAGAGAAAGACAGTAGAGTTGGAATGCTGAAGTTTTACTCTATCTCTACTCTGCCTGGTGATAGGAAAAGAATAAAATTAAACTCTGTATAACAATTCAGTTTGCAAATCAGAAGATCTTTTTCCCCATTTTCATCCTCAGGACCACAGTGACAATGTTCTTAGAGTTGCAGGAACAATGGCCCATGAAATGGGCCATAACTTCGGAATGTTTCATGACTCCTATGTTTGCAAGTGCCCTTCTACTATATGTGTGATGGACAAAGCATTAAGGTGAGGCTTTCTTTGGCTGATCTAATAGATACTCTTTTGTATTACTTTGTGCTGTGCCACTCTTTTATGTCATCTTCAGCAACATGTTTATGCTTTTAAATTGTCACATAAAAGCTTCTAAACATAGCCACAAATGTGCATCATTCCTTATCTAATATGAATTATTTTACCAAGATAGTTTAGACATATTGTCTCTTACTGTTGAGGAGACCAGCTCTCATATACTCTTCTTAGCTATACAAAACCTGTAGCACTGTAGCACCATCTTCCCATTGTTCATTGATTTGCTCCAGCGGGCCCAGTAATGTCTTCCTTGTGAGACTTGTTGTTACGGTGTTTGGAATATTGAATACGTCACGGGTAGCTTGCTATGCTTTACCGTGCGAGGGAAACACTCTTCGTAGCTTGTCTGGCTCTCCAAGAGGGGCAGAGGAATCAAATCTGGGTCGGCTGCATGCAAGCAAATGCCCTACCCATTGTGCTATCACTCCTTCTCATACAAAACCTAATTTCTGAAAATTATTAGTATTTATCAGATTTTCAATTAATTCAGAGTGGGTAGAGGTAGAAAAACTCTTTTTTTAAAAAAAATTTTTATTAGCGAAACACCATGAGGTACAGTTGTAGACTTACAACTTTTTGTGCTTGGGTTTCAATTATACAATGATTGAGTACCCATCCCTCCAAGAAAAATTCTTGAAGAAAATTGTAATTAAAGAAGTTCTCATAGGAACATGAAAAAAGAGACTATCGAAAGAGGTTATACATTCTTGCCTTGCCCTATACAATGTTGTTAGACAATTTTGTTTCTGAAAAAACCACAATCCCTATTATGTCCCTATTATGTTCATCTCCTCTTTTCTATTTCCCTCTCCCAGCTCACATTCCCTTCCACACAAGAGCGCCTGGCTGCAGGCAACTACATCTCTTATGTTATGGCTCCTAAATATTGCTGTTTTAGCATATATATATATATATATATATATTTGTGAAAATGCAGAGATTCTGTCAAAAGAAATCCTGGGAAAATAAATTTTCAGAATGCAAATAAATACAATTTACTGCCCTTAGGAATTCACAGCCAAAATTACCTACATCTGAATACGATTATCTGGAGGAGTCAGAAGCATTTTTGTTTCACTAGGCAGCAGCCTAGATACTATTCTTTGAGATATAACCATTTTTTCTCTTATGTGGGGATGCGTGTCCACATAATTGAGCTAATTTAAGTGGACAAACAAATGAGGTAACAATTTAGCAACTGGTCAGTGGAGTAGATATCTTTGTTTTGGGTACTTCTTAGCTATTGTCTGCAAACATTGCGTATATGTTCAGCAAGTCTGTATTCTATTTTCCCTTCCTTCTCTTTACAGCTTCTATATCCCTACAGATTTTAGTTCTTGTAGTCGTGTCAGCTATGACAAGTTCTTTGAAGAGAAATCCTCAAATTGCCTCTTTAATGCTCCATTACCTACTGATATCATATCCACCCCAATCTGTGGAAACCAGTTGGTGGAAATGGGAGAAGACTGTGACTGTGGGACCCCTGAGGTAGTAAAAACTTCCTAAAATAAAATGATCTAGGGTGTTTTTGAGTTTCTAAGAAGATAATTTTTTAAAGAATGTATAGTTGAATGTGAAGTTGTATGTTTTTTGAGTTTTAGTCATGCTCACTTCAAGATAGTTGTCATGTTTGCCTTTCTAAATTGCTGAATAGGTCACCCTAATTTCCCTTTGGGGTTCATTCTCCATTCATTTTTATTTAAGTTCCACGTGCCAACTTGGGATCTGCATCTTCACAAAATTTTGGACCTGTATTATTAACATTGAACATGAAAACCACCAACCACCTAGGTGTTAGCTTCTTAGTAGCTTCAAAATAGAATTACAAATTTATTCATTCTAGAGAATAATCATTCCTAGATGATGCTTATACTTAACATTAAAACAATAGTTTTAAACTTAAAAGTTTATAACTTTAAATATAACATTCCACTTATAGAATCTAAACAGCTATGGGATCAGGTGTTGAGGTAGAGGTGTCTCCAACACCTGTACAGCTAGCTTATTTTTCAAAATATATTGACACACACAAAGTTAAATTAAATGTAAAAAATTGATAAATAAATATACTTTGAAACTATTATCACATGTTTCAGAGGCTAAAGTTATTGCTCGATAGGTACAAAAATCTTGAGTAAATTATGTTAACTTTTTAAATAACTTAATTTTACTTTTGTTGTTACTTTGTTGTTACTGTGTCTGGCATATCGAATACTTAAAAACTATTTTTTCTTTTGTTTTCTTTTACATTTTACTAACATTGACCAGTCCAGTATTACTGTGGAAGGTTGAGAAAACTTTAAAGAATATATGTTTCGTGTAATTAACAAATTTTAATTAAATATCACATATTCGTTTATGGTATTTTTAGGAATGTACCAATATTTGCTGTGATGCTAAAACATGTAAAATCAAAGCACATTACCAATGTGCTTTAGGAGAATGCTGTGAAAAATGTCAGGTAAGATTATTATTTTATTTTTTCTTTGTGGTTATGATTTGTATTAGTTTTTATATGATAATCTTGGAAATTTGTGAGTATAATAGATGAGTGGATGTTTTTCTATTACAAAATAATGGTACATAATAAAATCCTCCACCGATGTTGTATGCACATGACTATTTGATATAGTAACTACCTTTTAAGTGAGAGACTATTATCTCATTCTGATTTTGAAGAAACAGCTCAAAACAGGCACTGTGAGTAAAATAATCAAGCCATTAGATGTCAAATTGCAAAGAGTAAATTTTTTTTTAAACTGTGCAGAGAATTGAATTACAATATATTTTCCAGGTACAAATAGTAAATTTTTAAAGCAATAATATTCTTCCTACATGTTGTTTCTTCTGATGTTGCCAAATACTCTTGGACCAAATCTCATCATTTATTATATATTCCTTTGATATGTTTGATGGAAAAACTTTCATTTTGAATAATTTGAGGGAGATTTTTTGTCTTTACCTTTTAAGCCATATTAGGATGAAATTCTTTGAAAATAATAGGTCATTTCTTTGTGGTACTTTTTAACTTTTCCTTTAAGTTAGATTTACTATTTTACATTTCAGTGTTGTATATTGCTCAATGTTAGGTATACATAATTTTGTATTTGTCTTATAAGTTATATTGATTCCTAAAAATCAAGGAACTTATTTCTGTTCAAGTAGTACAGAATGTAATTGTGTGGTGTTTGGGGCCACACCTATGATTCTCAGGGGCTACTACTGGCTCTGTGCTCAGGGCTCACTCCTGGTAGGGCTCAGATCTCCATATGGAGAGTCAAGGATCAAGCCCAGGGTAGCCACATGCAGAGCAGGCACCTTACTGAATGTACTATCTCATAGGTCTGCTCTTCATAAATTTTAAATAAATAGAAATCAGAAAGCAACCCCCAAAAGGAAGACAGAGAAAAATCAAAACAGAACAAAACATATATATCTAATTAATTTGACAACTGGTAGAATGTCAGTCTGGCTACTGCAGGGGGCTGCATTGGAGCATCTCATTCATATACACGAATTCAGCTTTTGTAAGGAGACTGCATGTGTTTTGATGACATGGGAACAGACCTGTTCACTTTAACTGGTGAAATATTCTTTCACTGTCCCATGGGCCTCTTCACAGAAACGTGTTATAGTAAGGTTTATCTGAGGAAGTAGAGACAAGATTTACTATGATAGAATGCAAGATATTAACGTACCAAATAAAGTATTTGATTATTTCTCCCTTCTGAAAAATCATTCCTGAAAAAAAAATGTTGGGGGGAAGGGGCGTTGGGAAGAAAGAGCCACACAAACAACAAAGGAATTCGGATTAGGAAATGTGATGCCTGGGAAAATTTCAGAGTATGCTGATCTGGTGCCTGTAAATTTAGCTTCTCTAATAATACAGAAGACTCACTTCAACAAATCTATGCAAGTGTAGATTTAAATATCCATGAAAATCTTGACAAAGATGCATTCAACAAGGAGAGAAAGAGCTTCCTTCTTCGCATCTCAAATGTTTATTAGTTTTTTTCTGCATATTTTATTAATATTTCTCTGGCATTTGTGCTAGATATTTAGAAATAATATTGTTTGCTAAAAATTTTAATCATCAATTGAAGTGAACAGAGTTAATACACTAGATGATACCTTTAGTTTATACAGTGCAAATGTAAACTGAAAGAGGATGTCTTTAAGACAGCCAAAAAGACCAAATTGAAAGCTCATTTCTAAATTATTAGGGTGTGG